CCCCCATACCCCAGTGGAGCGGAGCAGGACAGCTTGGGAGAGGACACCTTCAACATGAAAGCCCCCGAGGTCACCGGCCAGGTCATTCTGCCACCGGTATGTATTAACACATTAAATGAGACGCAACAAAAGAAGCATTCATATTTGTCCTCTTTTCTGTCAAGCTATTTATCAATCTATACTATTTGGTGTGTTTGCCGCGTGTTCAATATATCAGCCGTAGAGATGTCTGCCTTCTGTTGAATATCTCTTAAGGTCTGTGGATAATCTTGTGTATCCGAGTCATGATAACTGGAAAGAGGCATTGCGCTTCAGTTTTTCAAATACATTGTTTTTGTTTTTTGAGCCACCACAAAACAACTGCCATCTACTGTAGATCAAATGTTTTCGAGAGAAGGCAGACATCACCGTGTTGATATCTCCAACAAACCGCAACTCAGACCCAAATATTCTAAATGGATAAATATCACTAGAGGAAAAAGTTTATCTTGGATTTTGGGTGAGCTGTCAAGCTGCTTAAACAAAAACATGATGTCCCGGGCGGTAGCCCTCAGTCTTCTCTTGTTTGTGTCCCACAGTCCTGAGTCTCAGTACAGTACAGACTACAGTTGTGTGCTTGTGTTATTAAATCCTCTCACATGCTTGTTTGTTAGCACAGTAGCTGGTCATGAGGTACAGTTATTGTGCATTCTACTTAATAAAGCTTTGCTGGTAAACAGCGCTGACCTGGTCTGTTATATCATTATATAATTCCTGTCAAGCACTTCTATTGTTTCTGGAGAAAAAGGACCTTATTCCACTTACAGTAAGCGGATACCCAGCCTACTTTCCCCATTATGTGTTGAGAAACAACAAAAGTTCACATGTTCTTGTTGTTAAGCTCTTAGCGAGACTTCTTAAGTGGGTTTTATGCTGAGGGGACGGGTATTACCAGTGAGTAAACCAATTAGAAATAAGTATTCATTATTCCCCCCCCTCCTCGTTTTCTCCTTCTGTCGCCTCCATTTGAGAACCAATTATTTGTGTAATCATGGTTTTAGAAAAATCAATGTGTTTCTGGGTAAACGGAATAAGCAACGCTCGTAGAGCTGGAAAACAAATCCCTCCTCTTCTCTCAGTCCACACTGAACACAACAGAGTGGACGATCAGGGGGAGACTCTGATTTGACATTTTCCTTCTTTGTGTTGTAATGGCTTTTTATGATCACTGACGTGCTTCACGGTTATGATTGTGTCTCCAGGGAAAGAGGACCAACTTGCGCAAGCTTTGCTCTGAACGCATCGATCACAGCATGAGAGTGAAGTTCAACCCTCTGGCTCTGCTGCTGGACTCTTCTCTGGAAGGAGAGTTCGACCTGGTCCAGAGGATCATCTATGAAGTAAGACATTTACTTTTGCCTTCTTTTGCTTAGTTTTCTGCTGTGTTAGTCGGCTACCATTGTGTCAGAGTATTAGATAAAAAATATCCAAAAGAGACATTTTTGTTTGCTATTTTCTGTGGCTCACACTACCCCCTTTTTTAAATGTTTCAATCTCAGGTGGAGGATCCCAGTCTGCCTAACGATGAAGGCATCACTGCTCTACACAATGCTGTCTGTGCTGGACATACAGAGATTGTCAAGTTTCTGGTTCAGTTTGGTGTCAATGTCAATGCTGCTGACAGTGACGGCTGGTACGTTCACTGCTGACATGGCCGATTACCTGAGACAAGTCTGAACTGTCGCAATGAGTTTTGAAATTGTTTACATTTATTTACTCAACTCTCAACTCCTTCCTCCCTCTAGGACCCCTCTTCACTGTGCTGCATCCTGCAACAATGTGCAAGTGTGCAAGTTCCTGGTGGAGTCCGGTGCAGCCGTGTTCGCTATGACTTACAGTGACATGCAAACAGCAGCTGATAAATGTGAAGAGATGGAGGAGGGCTACACCCAGTGCTCTCAGTTCCTCTATGGTCAGTTCTTTGCTATATGTTATGAATGCATTGTTATAATTGTTATTGTGTCCTGTGTATGTTTCAGGCAAACAAAAATGATGTCTTACACTTCATATCTTTTGTGTGCTTAATCTTTGTGTTTTTCCAAATCTGTCTACCCTCAGGTGTGCAAGAGAAGATGGGCATCATGAACAGGGGAGTGATCTACGGTCTGTGGGAATACAATGGTGAAAACCCTGATGAACTGGTGTTCCGCGAGGGAGACTGCATGACCATCGTCCGCAGAGAAGACGAGGATGAGATCGAATGGTGGTGGGCCCGCATGGGAGACACCGAGGGTTACATTCCCCGCAACCTCCTCGGGGTGAGTCGAAAGTCACTGAAACTGCAGCGATGATAAATTGCGGTTTTTTTTATGTACAAATGTGCACTGCTAACATTCCTTGTCGTTTTCTCTTAACAGCTCTACCCCAGAATTAAGCCAAGACAAAGAACGCTGGCTTAAAACATAAAAAACCCTGCACATTGCAGTCTGCCAGAGCTGTACACACAATCAAATACACACACACACACACACACACACACACACACACACACACACACACACACACACACACACACACACACACACACACACACACACACACACACACACACACACACACACACACACACACACACACAATTCTCGTTCTGACCGAAACACCCAAATAAGTAGTCGTTGAGTGATCTACGTGTAATATAAAAACTCACTCAGTTGTTTTGTCTAAAAGGTGGTTTAGTAGATAGTAGAAAATAAAAAAAATTTAGATTCGTTGTCCACCACACCGAAATGTGCTAACTAAAATGGGGTCATCACGTCCATCGTCATCGTCCAGATGAGTTGGGTGTCTACTGTCCTCTTTGTTCGGATGTCTCTAACAGCTTAACTCAATTGGTCATCGTAGGTAGTATCGAGTAGAGTAAGAAGTGAAGAGTTACAGCACGTCGTGAGTCTCACTCTATTTGGATGGTCTCGTGTCTTATGTATACAAAATTTTCTGATAGACTGTTCACATTTCTAATGACAACGCGTTATTGTTTATGACTGAACTAGGTAACATGTAGAGGTTGTAAACTCAAAGACAGTTCAGTCCTTTATCAAAGTCTGTGAATAATGTATTTTTCACTAATTTCCTTTCGTTACGGTTTTCACAGAATTCATGTGCCATGTGTCACACCGGACCTTTTTCATGCTCTCCCTCTTAAGGAGACGACATCTATGTCTTTTTTTTCACCGGTCTTTCTCAGTATCTATTAGGAAGTATAACAAACCAGACAGAAACAGGAGAAGGTAAAGTCAGTCACAGGAAAGAGACAGGGTCAGACAATTTCGCACACACACACGCACACATAAACTAACACACACACACACACACACAACACACACACACACACACCACACACA